GACGAGGCAGGACCTCGGTCCTCCGCGATCCCGGCAGCCTCCTCCCTGGCAGTGAGGTAATAGGGGAAGAATGCACGGAGTCCGCCAGGCTCCCATCGGCCCCGCGGCGCCGACCCGACCATAGAGAACCGGGGAAAGGGGTGCAAACAGGCCACCACCATAGAGGAAACCATAGAGGCCGAGCGCTTCCGCTCGCGGTCACGTGACGCGCCCCGGGCTGAGCCCCTCGAGTCATGTGACCGCCCGCACGTGCGAGAACAAACAGGCGGGGGGTAGCACAAGGAGGCGGAGTGAGGGACTCCCCCTGCCCCTACTGGCGTGAGACAGGTAGCTCAGCCCACCACCTATTGGTGGCGCGACCGCGGCCCGAAACACGTGACGCGGCTTGTGCTCTCTCATTGGGCGAGGGGCTCTGCGGGAACGCCCAATGGGGTTAGCGCAGGGGTGCGGGCTTCCCCCACGCGGTCCCCCCCAGTGGTGTCCCTAAGCTGAGTTGAGGCGCAGCCGGCACCCGGCGTCCCCGCAGGGCGCCCCATGCCCGACCCAACCCGACCCGGCGGGAGCAGGCAGAGGTCCAGGCGGGGGCGCCAGAAAAGTGTGGTCGCTGCTGCTCTGCGGGCAGCAAAAGGCCGCCCAGACCGCTCCCCCCTCGGACCTCGCTGCCCCCGGAGCTGCGGGATTGAGGCAGCAGCTGGTTGTGAAGCGCAGCGTGAGTGCAACGGGCTGTGGCGGCACGAGCTGATACCCTCGTCCAGAGGCTTTTGGACGGGCTGGAACGGCCGTGCCCAACTTCCCCTTTCACACACTCCGGGAGCGGGCGGGGGAGGGTCTGTCTCCCTGACGTTGCGCTGTTCGCATAAGGGCCCGGCCGCCTAGGACGCCTCTGCAGTAGGCGCTCCCGCGCAGACACGACTGCCGGAGCAGATGTCAATCTGGATACATCTCCTTGGTGCTAGGGGAAGGACAAAGCTGTGGCAGTTCCCTCCCTTGCTAGCTTAGCTACCGACTTGTCAAGGAGAACTGCTAAAAACGAATGACTCACTGGATAAACTTCCTACATCTGCAAAAGAAGCTTGCTTTTGACCTGCAAAAACCCCTGCTGCTTTGCCCGCCAGGTCCTTTTGCACAGTCCGCCGCCCCTACTGAAGAGAAGCAGTGAGTCAGTGACGCGGACAATGCTGGGGAACATGCATGGTCGCTTATTTGATCATCTGAATGGAGCTTTGTACCAAACTCTCAATGTTAATCCCTTTTTCTTGCTTTTTCATGAAAAAGGAGCAAAGCTATGATGTAATATGGCTCTTCTGCAAAAATTATTTGCCTTTGAAAAACAATTGGTCTCTAGGGGGCTAGAATCCTTAGACACTGCACATCATCCCATTGACTTCAGTGGGATTGCACACAACTGTAAAGTGAAAGTAAGGACACCAGTAAGGTTTGATCAGCACAAGGGAGATGGGGTAGAATAGCTATTGCAGAACAAACTACCCCAAAATAGCTTCTCTCCACCCTATTTTGGAATAAAAATAATTTTACTCCAGAACAATTGCTAGGCTTTCATTTTTCCAGAATAACTGTTTCTTTATAGCATCCCTCTCGACTAGGCATCAAAATGCAGGTCTATTTGTAGCATGGGTGAGTGTATGTGTTAGCTGGTAGCACAGGCTAGCAGTCCAAGTATGTATTTAGAGGTCACAGAACACCTGTACAAGATTACATCCCTTTGTCTTTGCCACTGTTGCTACCTGTGCTATCTAGTCATTATCAATGACTAGATAGCACAGTTCAAAGCTAATGCAGGTATGTGCACCTGTGTTATTGACATCTGTTTTGCTGCGTAGATAAATCCTGTTTTTCTTCTGTAATAAACACAGGCTCAGACCCTGTAGAGGGCTACAGCAAAGCTTAGTTCAGCATTAGGAGAGAGCCACCATTATGCACAGAACCAGAGCAATTAAGGTTCTGAATAAACCAAAAAAACCCCAAAACACAAGCTGTTAAAGCACCTTCTTTCATGGCTTTAACTTAATTTCAAGATGTAGCCTGCTTCATGTATACCAATAGCAAGAAGCAGAGCTGTCTAGCGCCTTGAAACTAAAGCAAATTCAACATGAAAACAATGCTTAAGACTGAGAATATTAAGCAGTCTATATTTTTGATCATTTAAGAGAGAATTAGTCATGAAGATAGTCCTGAATACAAAACATGTGCAACTTTAAAGTTGAGACACTAAAAAAAGTTAATTTGTTTTTCAAAGGCTTTTAGAAATTAGTTAACCCATGCATCATCATGTGCAGACTACTCCCAATATATATAAAAAAAGCATATATATTTCTAATCTACCCTTCTATTTCAGCTTGTGTAAATGTTACCATCCAATTTAAAAGGTTGTCATTTTGCAGTGTCACTGCAACCATAAACCCCATAAGTGAAATGAAGCCACAGATAATCTTTCAGGCAGTGACATCTTAAACAGAATTGGGGTTTTTTTTAAGTTTCAGAGCTACAAAATACTAAAGCATCTTGAGGCTACTTTACTACACCAGAGTTTCTAGGTGTTGTAAGAGGCAAGGATTTTGTTTCGAGTGATACCTTAATTCTACCCATGAAGTTGGTTAAATAAAAGTTTAGGCAAGCTTTTGAATATAAGGCATTCTTCATAAGGTCCTGGATGCCAGGAGCCTCAAAAATCAAAAAGCCTAATGACCAATGTGAGGTCACACAGAAGTCAGTGCAGAATCAGGAAAAGAACTCAAGCTTTGTTTTTTCACACTTTAAGTACATGGTTGTGCTTCCCCCCTCTTTCCCCTTATTTCCCAACTTCCCTCCCCCAAATATCCTAGGTCTAGTCCCCGCAAAAAGTCTGGCAGCCACTATCCTAGCAGGATATACTGAAGGGATTGTAGCAAAGAGCTGAAGGCCAGGACTTGTCTAGATTAAGTGGCTGTAAAGTCTATTTTAATTTTAAAATAATGCTATAGGTCATTTTACCTCTGCTATTTCAGGACTTTCAGACTGCTGCTTGGGGTAGAATATTCTTCCTCTCTGCAGTATGTACTGCTGGAAGTGAAAGCACCAAAACCATGTGCCAAGACATGTAATCTCTTTGGTAACCTTGAACAATAAAATGCTCATATTATGTCTTCTAGAAATAATTATCTCTTACAAGCTGTTAATGGTCAAGAGTTGTGTCCTGCTTGACTCCTTGTGCTCAGGATTTGTTCTGCTCTTGAAGTTTGGGCTATATTCCAGAGTACTAGAGTACTAGTTAGTGGCTTCAGTGCAGAAAAGGAAATGAAGATATGTAAAAAAAACAAACAAACCCCAAACAAACAATTCATTTAAACTTACTAAACATTTTCAAATGGCACATTTAAAAACATTTCTCAAAATGTAGCTATTTAAAATGACTTTTCTTCTTTCCTTCTATGGAACACAAATGTTAGCTTGAATTAACATCCACCAGTGGTAGTTACCTGAGAAAGATCAAGCCATCAATTTCTTTAGGACCATGAATAAGAATAGGAGCTTCATCAGGGGATTGTCAATCAGACACCTCACATCTGGAGACTGGTTATTTTTGTGAGGGATTGGGAAGTGTGTCTTTGATACACAGGGTGCTATGAAAGTTAGAATGGAAGGGGATTCCTAGCAAAGTCTAGAGGCAAACACACCACACATGAGGCACTATGATAGAGATGCGTGAGGGTCACGGGACCCTGAGACTGCAAGCCAAAAAAAAAAAACAAACCCCCAAAAATACCCCCATTGTAATTTACTGGTGACACGATAAGGGGAATGCTTTTCAATTTCTGTGTCGTATTTCACCTCATCACCCCACCTACCACAGAAGTGTTGTAAAGAATAAGGATTGTAGAATGTATCAAAGATCAGTGCTAAGGAGGGTAGTCATTTTGGAATAGTGTGAGAGTCATCACGAGTACATAGCCTTATTTCACCTGTGTTTAATATACAATTCAAAAGTATTTTGGTATTAAAAGTAGCAGTGCTAAACAAACAAACAAAGCACAACCTATGTGCACCACAGGATTTGTAGAATAAATGAAGCTGCTAGTCTCAGGGAAATTTATTAACTGCATAACAAAGAAAGAGAATTTGACAAAGGCTGTAGCCTGTGAAAGATCATGCCTCTCTGAACAAGTTAGTCTATAAGGTGCCACCTGCCCTACATTCTGAAAAGCTATTTGGCCATTTTCTAAGAAGAAAAACTGAGCTCTCAAATAACAGAAGCTATCAGTCAGGACAGATGAATAAACATGGATTTTACTGGCTCTGGTCAGAACTCCATCATTTTTAGGACATTAGACTTTACCAAAAATGCTAAAAAGCCACTTAATTTTCATCCAGTGAACAGAAGAGATCACATTCATCACCTTAAACATGAGTCAAAATGCTGTGAAGAAAAGGTGAATTGCTGCTATTCAGAAGAACAAAATAGCCCAGCACTATGTTATTTCCAGTAAAATGTTCTAGATGCTCACATTCAAAGTGTTCACAGCAGATATATTCTCCAAAGGGCTGAATCTGCAGCTGGTGTAAACTGGAACAAGCCCTTTAGACAATGGCACTACACCAAATTGGTAGGGGGCAAGGGACTTGTCCAGGAATGTTGGAGAGTTAGAAACATCATCAAGATAGAGGCAAACAAACAATTTAAGCAAAACTGTTTGAGCCCAGGTGGCTCTTAGCTGCTCTTTGCTACTGCTTAGAAACTGCAGCTTCCTCAGCACTAAATTGACTTTGAAGTTGTCCTTGTATTAAACAACTTTGTTTCAGGAATTTCACAATTCCTTCCATCCAAAATAAATAAATAAATAAAAAGGGTGGTGCAAAGGGGTTGAAGGTTGTTGAAATAAGTTTATGTATACAGGCAACCCCCACTTAGCGCTCTTAATTGGTTCCTGAAAAACTGAGCATTAAGCGAAACGAGCGTTAAATGAAACCTAAAGTATTTGATGACCCAAGATGGCAACCGGAAGCGTTATAATGAAACTTGCTGAGCGCTAAGTGAAATCAGGTATCAATTTAAAATAAGTGTTACAGTGAAATAGCACTAAGTGAAACAGCATTAAGGGGGTTGCCTGTAACACAAACCCTGGTATCACAGACAGTCGTGAACCAGTTCCCAGTCAATGACATTTTGCAATGTTTCAGCTGCTATGTGTCCACACCCTTATATGAAAAAAATAGTTTTTTGGAATATGAAATGGCAAAAAGGTAAGAAAAAGAGCTACATCGTTATATAATGATATCAAAATAGCTGAGATGATGATAAAATGGTTGGGTCAGAAAGCCATTTGCTGAAGAAAACTGGTAGGTAACTTAAAAGAGAACTGGGTTTGTTTGCTGTTTCTATGGTAGCATCAAATAAACTGTTTTTACTGTCTTGTGAAACCAGGGCTCAGAATAAGTTTATCCTTCAGAAAACTCTTTTTATTTTATTATGTTGCTTTATGCCACAGCATTCTGACCAAGTTGTGTGTTCCACAGCATTCAAAACAACCTTTGCCTGAATCACAAGGAACAAGTCAAAACAATTTGGATCCACCTTCAGCGCCTACTTTTAGTTCCTAAACAATGTGGAAGGGTAATTTCTTCTAGTCTCTTTGCACAACCACTACATTCTGACAAGCTTATGGGTATGTATTTTAAAGTTAAAAAATGTATGTTGACATTTTCACTCCTCTCCCTGATAGATAACACCTCCTCTCATAATTTAAGTCTGTAATTACCAAAGCTAAAATGACATTGCCAGAAGTATATTTGAGAGTTGTACATTTCTTTTTAAACAAGACCAGAACACCAATATAAAAATAAGATTGCTGTCCTGACAGAATCTGAAATAGGGTTCTTCTTGCATATTATGCACATCTTGTTTTTTAAATAATTGTATTCAGCTCCTGCTTTCCTACTCTCTCTATCCTACAAAAGAAAATAGCACTTTTTCTGATCCAAATTTAGAAGCCCAGAAAAAGTTACTAATGGCTATTAGCAGCTTGAAGACTACAACCCTAAACAAAACCAAAATAATTCCTAATGTGAGAGCTTTGTGGATATTTATGAATTCCTGATCAGAGAACTAAATTTGGCAATCCTTATGGAAACATAAGATGAGGCGTGAAAGTTCATACTTACACCCATACAAGCTGAAGTACCAACAAATTCCTATTTCCTAACAGCAGCTGAAGGGGTGTTTTGTTTTTTCCCCCCACCAAAATCTAGGTCCCTCTCTCTTTTCAGGGCATGATTTCTTTTTCATTTTAAGAATTATTTTCTCTGGCATAAAGATATAAAAACTGCTCATGTACAAAAACCTCCAAGTCCTTTATTAATGTTTTCAGGATGTATGTGATACATACAATTAACATCACACCAGCTACAGGAAGTACTGTGTTGCGAGAGAGGTACTTCAAAACAAGTATCCCAGAGCACCAACATGGACACGCACAGACACTACAAAATCACTTTGAAATGGTTCTTTTTTTTTAAAAAAAATTGATAGCTAGGATTTCCAAACCATTGGAGATCCTAAGTGTGGCAGATCTTCTAGTGCAATGGCACTGATATCAGAAAGCTACTTCAGACGCTGGATGGTCAGAAGAACACAAACTGAATGGGGTAATTGGAAGTGGTGTCATTTTCAATGCTTTGAAACACTCATGTCAGTCTGAGCTGACACTGGTGAGATTCTTGAGTCTCCTACAAGAACCACTGGTCAAACCTGAAGTTACCCCTAAGCTGTGAAATGGAAGGGGGGAGGGTGCTGTCCACCACACATCGCATCACTAGTTCCAATTAGTAGGCACTGACACATCAGGAGGGTTAAACAAATGGGATTGCAAAGAGTTTAAAAAGGGATGAGCCTGAGAGAAATCTTTGTTCATTATGACAGATTAATGACAATCCTTTCAGGTCACTGGGCTCCACACGTCCATCTGCTGCCATCTGTTCTCTAGAACTCATCCTTTTTATACAGATGCTCTGCTTAAAAATAAACCCAAACTACAAAAAGTCTGAACTCTGTTCTGTACACATTCTCGATTTTTTTTTTTTTTTTTTTTTTTTTTCAAAGTCACTTGCACTTTAGACTTTCTCCTTTCGCTTCAATTTGGACACTTTCTTGACAGTTCCATTCTTGTTTAGAAGCTTCAAAACACGGTCCTTGTGATCCAAGACTTTTAGCATGGAGTCTCGGGCCTCATTGATTTGATCCATCACAAGTTTACATCTCTGCATATTCCCCTGAAACAAACACATTTCTATCAACAGAAGCAGAATTATCTCACCAATCCCTCTGCCCCTTTCAAGTTCACCTCAGAGGTCTCAGTGAGCACACTCAAAATACAGGGAAGACATGCTAGAAAAAAGAAAGTTTTTTTGTTTTTTTTTTTTTAATTTGCTAGGTATTAATAGAAGAGTAGTTAGGATTAGTATAAATTTGCAACTAAGGGTTAAGCAGACACTGAGCTGAGAGACTGAGCTACAAGCACTTACCTGTATCAGTTCGTTTATTCGATGCAAGTCATCATCAGTTGCTGCCTTTTTTTTGGGGATGAGCCCTTCCTGCAAGGCAGTGAGTCTCTCATACACATCGTGCTCCAGGTTAGTCTAAAAGACATTAGACCTTAGTGAGAATTCACTTTTCCTCTAATGCACAACATTCTTCCATGTTATAATATGTATAGACAAAGAGAAGGTGTTCAGCTTCTTCCTCTTAGCTGCAAACTTACTCATTGGAAGGAGCATCTGATACAGAATGGTGTTATTTATCACACCGACATAAGTTTACCAGATTGCTGCACTTCTGAATTAACAAAGGTCTTAACCAAGACTGCCTTCCCTACTTCTCTCAACACAATTCCAAGATCTTAGAGATTCTGGGGAATTTGGTGCTAGGATACAGAGCATCTCTCATGCTTAGCCCTTACATCCATGAACACAGAACCTCAGATCAGGTACACCATTCCACATAGACATTTCTTTGTTTCTCTACATTGCAGGATGTTAGCAAGCTTCTTTCACTTACCAACTGCAGTAACTGTGCTGCACAGAGATGGACTTTCCAACCTTGTGCACGGCAGGACACTCCCTTCTGATTAGCAATTTCCTGCAGCATAGCTTTCTTCTCTTCTAGAACCAAAGAGTACAAACCTGTTCAAACCTCACGTGACTAATTTAGGAACAGTACTGGAGACATTTTAATCCAACTCTTT